GCCCTGACAATTTGATTGGATCGCCTGACAGTGGGCTTTAATACTCGCGCTACTATGGAGCAGAGCCAGACCGAACTTCCCCGAACTCAAACCTTGTGGGCGGGACTAAGTTCGGACTGGCACCCAGGCTAACATCCAACACCACTGTCGCCCCCAAATTCAGTGTATAACATGGATGCATAAACACATCATTTTTTCCAGTGTTAAATTCTTTTTAAAGTAACAGATCATTAAAAATGTGTCCAGACCTTTACTGGTTAATGATTTTCTTTATTCAGACCCCGCTGATATTTAATTGCTTACCTCTGGTTTAATGTTTATATATATTTATTTCACTGGCGAGCCCCGATGCCAGCGCCTACGCCAGCCAGCGAAGGGGGAGCAGGATGGGGGGAATGGGCTCCGCACTTAGCAGAGACTTGAGATGTGCTTGGAGTGACCCAAGTCAATGAGTGCTACGTTCACACTGCGGGCCTAGTGCTCAATTCAGATATTTTTGTGAAATCTGATTATTTTGCCGGGTTGTTCACATTTCCAAGTATGTGCCACTTATATGTGATCTCATGTGTGAACTGCATTCATTCAACTTAAGTGCTCCGCATGCGCAGTAGAGGGCGCAATGATGTCACAAGTGTGTGTGGTCTGTGTTTACTGAAATAAACATGGATGGTAGTGCTGGAGTGCTTCTAGATATCTTTCACCTCTTTTCCAACCTCAGCCAGTGCATCAACAACACAATCTTTTCAAGAATGTTGAAAATAAAGATTTGCATTATCGTTCTGCATGGTTGTTGTTTTTCTTCCTGCTTCTGCATAGCAACATGGAGAATAGTGACCTTTATTGAGTATTAATGGGATACAGGTGCAATGAATGCGACCTGGCCGTTCAGACACAGGTTGCATTTTAATAAGATCAGATTTGTATCGGATTCAGGGCCACAGAGCCAAGAGGCCTGGGTCGCATTAGATAAAATATAACTTGTGTTGTTCAGACTATCATGAAAAGATCAGATCCAGGTCGCATGTGGGCAAAAAAAAAATCATATTTAGGTCACTTCAGGCTGCTGTGTGAACATGGCCTTAGTTAGGTGAAGTAACTGTATCAGAACTCTCTCAAGTTTGAGCAACCAATCACCACTCCCTCTATCCAGTCTCACATGCTCATCTTTTAAGACTTCCTTTTAAGACACTAGCTAAGATACTTGTAATTGGCTGAATGTAATAACCTATTTATTTCACCTGTGCACAGGACTTGGGTTCAGTATTGCAGGTGGAGTTGGAAGTCAACACATCCCAGGTGATAACAGCATATATCTGACCAAAATCATTGAGGAAGGAGCAGCACACAAGGATGGACGGCTACAAGTCGGAGACAGATTGATAATGGTGAGCAGTGGAATAGTTTGTGTACTCATATATGAACCTCTCTGAACAAAATGCTTTGTAAAAGCACCTTATCTGCACTTTTTACCAACAGGTTCTGTGTGTTATAGTTCTATCAGCTACGCTTATATCAATTTAATTCAAAAATACTTTATTACTCTCAAAGGGAAGCTAAATGGTCCAGTAACTCATAAGTTATCTTTTACACAGGTGTTGTAGTTGTTGTAGTCAAGATGGATCTTTTGCAGTGGTCTGTCTTGCACTGGACCTGGAGAATCCCCCGACTGAAGACACTCTGTTGTTGTTTAAGAATTTTCATAGACTTAAACTTAGACAACTTTTATTGTAATTTTGTATACAAAGAGTGTATACAAAACTAAGTTTCATTTAGTACAGCTTTTCAGACAGTAAATGAACATTTCCATTCCATAAATTGCGGCAGTGGACCTGCATCGAATGCTGCGAAGCCTCTTCCCAGAGGGCAGCAGGGGGAACGGTTTTGAAGAAGATGCTCACTGTTGTCCATAATTTTCTTCACTTTATGAGGAATTCTTCTCGGTGAAATAATCTCCAGGGGTTCTAAAGGAGTTCCTTGAACAGAGCCGGTGTTCTGTCAGATCAGCATACCCCGTCAGACCAGCATAATATGAAGTTGTCGAGAAACTGAGACTTTAGGCAATTCTTGCAGGGACAGGTTTATATTTACATCGGCAGACAGAGAGAAAAAACTCTGACTGTGGAAAGTTCAGTACGTACATTTATACAACAACTCCCAACACACACTCCCACCAAGGACATTTCCTGTTAGGTTAATACTGTATATCGACGGAACTTCTCAAAACAACCTTCCTGTTCATGCCATGAGGGAGGCTGTGGGAACTCATTCTTATCTCTCATAACCTTACCTTGTCTAGAGTGAGGATCACTACTATCAGGCTGAGAAAAAGCACACTCAGATATTTCACGTTGAGCATAGTCAATATGTATGTGCAAGGCGTCAGATTTGCATACGTCTGACACCATAAGTGGAATGAAGTCCACTAGGCTACTCTATTTATGCGTGATATTATAAACAAGAAGTTGTAGTTGAAGTTAAACACACAAACCTACCTGAACGGAATATTGAAAGTCAAGTAGGCTTGTTTATTTATGCATGATGTAATAAACAAAAAGTTCTATTTGAGGTAAACAGAATTTAAAGCTGTGTTCGCTACTTCACACCCAGACGTAGCTATCCTGTCAGATTGTGGCTGGGGGAATATTGATATTTACAGGCTGATCTGCAAATGTAACAGAAGCATGTGTAGTATTATGGGTATGCTGATCTGACGTGGTATGCTGACAGCAGCAGCCTTCTTTATCAGCTTGTTGAGCTTTTGTAAGTCATTAGGCCTGATGCCGTTACCCTATCAGAGGATGAAGGAAGAGTCAGACTCTCCACAACAGACTTATAGCAGATATGTAGCATTTTGGTGGCAAAAACCAAAGGGCCTAAGCTTTCTTAGGAATTCCAGTCTGCTCTGTCCCTTCTTGTAGATTGTTGTAGTTGTTGTCCAGGTGAACACCAAGATATTTATACTCTTCCACCACCTCCACTTCTTCTCCCAGGATGTTGACAGGATTCCACTTGTTCCTGTTTTTTCTGAACTCTACAGTCACCCCCTTGTTTTTATTTACATTCAGGATCAGATGATTGTTTTCACACCAGGCCACAAAGCGGTTCACCAGCTCTCTGTACTCAGCTTCTTGTCCATTTTTGACGCTCCCAGTGACTGCAGAGTCATCCCAGTATTTCTGCAGATGATAGGACTCTGTCTGGTCCTGGAAGTCAGAGGTCAACAGAGTAAAAAGCAATGGAGAGAGTACCGTCCCCTGTGGTGCTCCTGTGCTGCTGACTAGATCAGACAGCTGAGCCTTCATTCTAACAAACTGCGGTCTGTTTGTCAGGTAGTCTTTGATCCTGGTGATTGTTGATGCCTCCACCCAAGTCTTCCGCAGTTTCTCACAAAGTCAGTAAGGATAGATGGTGTTGCGTGTTCTGGAGTAATCAAATAACATTATCCTCACAGTGCTGTCTGACTTGTTTAAATGACAGTGGAAGATTTCTGCCTTGGAAGTTGGGGGGGAGGATTTAAAAGGAGTTTTTAACAAAGGCAGAGAGATTATAACTTGAACCAAGAGGGTTTTATCTGTAATTTCTAGCTAAAAAAAAACAACAACTAAATAAATCCATAATAATTACACAGCTGTCTGATTCTAATGAAAGCTTTTAGTGGTGTGTAAAAGTGATACATAAAATGACAGAGATAACTCTGCACCTGTACTGCAGGTCATTGACCTTCAGACATGTATTTTCTTTTTTAGCATCCAAAAGGTTTACTTCAATGATTGTCCTGTATTTAGATCTTCACATCTGTTGTTGCACTCTGACTAGCTTCCCTGGCCATGGTGAAGTAAGGCCAAATAAGTCCAAATTAAATGCATTTTAGTCTCTTGAGTTTCCATTTATGTGCTTCTTTTCAGAGGAGAACTAAAGTATCAAACATTCAAACCCTAATATGACTTGGGAGGGCATAGGCACCTGGGCATAATAATTCCAAGGCCAGGTTGTAAAAAAGCACCACAGTATACTGTAACAATTCAATTCAATTCAGTTTATTTCTATGGCGCCAATTCACAACACATATCATCTCAAGCACTTTACAGTTCACCAAATCATACAGTCAAATGGATTCAAAATTTTCTAAGGAAGACCAGTTGATTGCATCGACTCATTGACTCGAAGGCAATCCCTCACACTAAGCATGCTTGTAGCGATAGTGTCAGAGAAACAGGGCTACACTGAAAACAGGCCGATCTCCAACATCTATAAACAAAGGTGTTGATGGCAGCAGCACAAAATGTTAGAGATTAAACTAACAGATTCTGCAGAGTGGGCAAATAGAGATAGAATGAAACAGAATGATGAAAAAAGGGGTCTCTATGTCCTCCAGACGTCTAAGCCTATAGCAGCAAATTAGAAGCTAACAGGTTAAAATCCCTCAGAGAAGTTTGATGATGTTCATCATGTACGAACCAAAATGGACTTCCTCTTGGTTTTAGAATATACCTCCAAGACACATTATTCATAATTTAGAGAGATCTAAAATCCTACAATGGTTTACAGTGGGGCAAAAAAGTATTTAGTCAGCCACCAATAGTGCAAGTTCTCCCACTTAAAAA